AAAAAAAAAAAAAAAAGCCGGGTTAGACATCTCCCCCGCTCCAGTTCAGTCACATTCGCTCGGGGTTAGGCAGCAGCTGCCGAGCAGAAACCCTCACCTGAGCTCACCTTAAAGTCAATCTCAAAGGGAGGGGTTTTATATCAAGCGATGATGCTTTAGGGAGAACTTGGACTCTGGGGCTCCCTTATGTCCCTTTCTGGGGGCTTTGGTCCCGCACGTGGCCCCGCTGGGAGCCGTTTTAAAGCATCTGAAGCCGCCAAGAGCACAGGAAAACTCAGCCAGTGGCAGCGGCAGAGCCCGGCACGGGGCCGGGGAGAGCTCTGGTGGTCGCGGCACACGGCGGGACAGCCGGCATCGGCTCTGCCCGGGACACGCTGGGGGGCAGCGGCAGGGCCCGGCACGGGGCCGGGGAGAGCTCTGGTGGTCGCGGCACACGGCGGTACAGCCGGCATCGGCTCTGCCGGGGACACGCTGGGGAGGCGACAGGTCTGGCTTAGGTTGGAAAAAGCAAATTGCCACGAAGCCAGGCTGGGGAGAGAGACCTGGAGGAGGGTGAGAAGAAGAAAAAAGGCTTCAGGGCCAGGGAGACAGTTTTGTTTGAAAATTTATTGAAAAATGCAATACAAGAAGCAATACTGAACACTTACGGCTGTCTAAATGCTACGGCAACTTTCCCTTTGATTTACTATGAAAGTCCAAATTAACAGCTCCCATCACTAGTCAATCTATAAAGATTTGCAAATTTTAAAAGTTCCTATTTATTTTTATAAAGAAGAGTGTAAACGGCTAGCCTAAACAATTCACAATTGCCTTAAAAAAATTTTACAAAGCTCCTTCATATTCTCAACTAAATTTTTTTTTTTTAACAAGTTTCTAAGGCTGGGACACTACCACCTCTTAAGGTAATTGTACAATTAGGAAAATCTGCAAACCACAGTTTATTAAAACCAGAAATCAGTCAGTCCTTTGCTAACACATCTGTGTTGGTCAGAGATTGCTATTTGGCAACCGGTGCTGCCGTTCCAGTTTAATGGAGGAGAACATGAGCTCCTTGCCTTCCTTTCTATAAAAACATTCATTCATATATAAATAGCTTCCATATAATGTATATTATACAATCAAGACAGTCTCTGGGTGAATTTGTGGAGTGGGAAGAGCTGGGAACATTCATATAAATAGACCTTACTTAGCTGGTTTGTCCCTAGAAATAAGACAGCACACTAAGAGCCAAGGATTTTAAAAACCCGTCGGAGGTGGAAGGGGTGCGGGCAGCCCCGGCTGAGGATGGAAGAAGCTTCTTCTGCTCTTAACTTTCATCTTCTTCCCAGGCTGCCACTGCTCCCGTCCAGCTCCTGGGCTCGGGCGCTGCACGTAGGCGGCCGTGTCGGCTGGAGAGGGTCAGCAGGGCTGGAAATCCCCCGTGGGGTCAGACAGCAGGGTGATGGCGAAGGTCAGACGAGGCGATAACTTGTTTTAAGATACTCAAGAAGCAAGAACTTAGAAGGGGGAAGTGCGAGAATGAACAAACTGGAAACAGCCACCCAAAATCCAAGGGAAAAAAAAAATGAGAGGGTTATTCTAGTCTATGGGCCCTTAAAAAGGGATGTATGCAGCCACAGTGAGCACACCCTTCTGGAAAGGAACCACTTCTCGTGCCAGCGGGTTTCTCACCCTAGAAATCCCCCAACTGAACACCCGGGGCCAAGCTTCAGCCTCGCACCACGTCCCCCTGAGTTCTCGTGATGGCCAAGCGCCTTTAAGTGCTATGGACAAACTTAATTTATCACGCTGGCTTTGCCTGGTAAAGCTCAGAAATTCTCGTAACGACTACACGGTGTGCCCCTTTACTCCTCAGGTAGCTGCTCCAGGGTGAGAAGGAAGGACCGAGCGGCAAAAAGCTAAATTCCTAGAAAAGGGACATCACCAGAAGGATGCTCAGCATGATGGGCTTTTAAGGCAAGCGTTACCTAACTAAGTTGAGGACAGCAGGGACACAGACCTGTTAAAGGGTCTGTGCTGCAGAGTAAAGAAGGAAAAGGCTGTTCAGACATAAATAGGAAGACTTCATCTCTACACTACAGCTGTGGAGCGCAGGACTCCCTAAATCCCCAGAACAGGATGCCCGGTACCCAGTGGAAGGCAGAGCATCGCTGCGGGAGGGGACCACGCACCCAGAGCAGCCCGAGCAGCAGCTACCAGCACAGGAAGGCTGGAAGCTGAGAAGGGCCCACGGCCAGCAAGGCTCAAAGAAAGCAAAAATCCAGCAGCTCCAGCGTTTTCAGCATAGTCTCCAATCAATAGTGACAGCTTAATTAAAATTGCACCTGAATCTGAGAAGCTACACTACCCCAGTGTAGTTCGAAGGCTGTTTGCAGCTAAACAGCAGGTCGTTGCAGCCTGAGCTAAATCCAGTGACTTCTGAAACACATTATTCAAATTTAAAATAGCAGAGAGCTTTTTTTTTATTGCCATTTGCTTCCCATCCTCAACTGAGGAGCAGCAGCAGAGCACTCCATGCCCTCAGCTACCAATGTGCCACGCTATATATATATATATATAAAAAATAAAAATAAAAATCACAACCTCAAAGTGTACTAAAGTGTTCACAAGTGTCTGGGCAGACTCTTTACAAAGCTTGGGGTTTTTGGTGGTTGTTCTTTGTTTTTTTTATTTAAATGCTGGAAGGAGAAACAAGGGCACGATTAAAACATTTCCATGAAGCTCAGAAAGCAGCAGCAGGAGCTCAGCCCCAGGTGCCGTGGAGGGAAGCGCATCCAGCCCCAGAAAAGATGTTTTCTGGTCTTCCCTACCTAGCTGGAGATGGCGCCGGTGGTCTGTAAGCTCAGCCTAAAGATGCAGACACTAACCCTGGTATTTCATTCCAGCAAGGCGGTCACGAAGCCAAACGAAGTCCAGACCCTTACGCCAGCGTGGAAGAGGGGGTGGCAGCACTTTCCACGTGGTTTGGCTCTATCACAACCAGCAACACCTGACACCTCCTAAGATTTCTTGTTCAGCCTCTCCAAATACAGCTTACAGGCCTAGGAAGGATTGTCTAAAGGATTTTAAATTAAATGATAGTAGGATATATGCCCTGGTATATGGGTAACGTGTTTAGCTTTAAATAGCACTGTGAGGGGAGGAAAAAAACCAACCCATGACTTACAAAAAAACCCCCCTAATTTAAAAATCATGAACACAAACAAGTGAAAAACTATGACACTGAAAAAAAATCAGTTACTGTGAATGCTGCATAAGCCTACCTCAATAGCATTCAGAGTCCAAACACCTTAAACGCACACTTCTAAGGGCTTTTTAGTTTAATGGCATCTAGAAAACACAAACAGGTAGGTAGCACTCGGCAGAGACACACAGGAGGAAGGCGAGGTGCTATCACAGTCCTCTTAAAGCTCTAAAATTCACAGTATAAGATACTTGAAGCAACTTCCAGTATTCCTTAAATCTAGTCAACTATTAAGATGTGTGCATAGGCTACACCACAAAACCCTACTGTGTTCACACATCGGGGGCCTGAAACCCAACGGGGAGGAAATTCGGAGCGAAGGCAGCAGCTCTGCACGCCCAGATATTGCGGCTGGAGTCTCAAGCTCCCTAGAGCTAAAAAAAAATAAAAAATCAAGAGGCAATCGGAAATGCTGCACAAAACTGAAGTCTGACTTTTTAAACTGACTCTCCCAGCAGAAGGACCCATGGCTTTTCGAAGGCGCGTACGGATCCCGCACTCGGAATATGCACAGATGTGACTTATCTCCGTTATTCCTGACGAGGCGGAGAGAATACGACTTAAAACAGCGACCCTTTGAGCCCTGTGAGGTGTGTCTGGGTCTGTATCTGAAGAGGCTATGCATGAGAGGGAATGCAAAATTGAAAACCTGTAAAAAATATTCAGTACAGTTAGAAATATGGCATACTTTTGTCACAATATAAAAAAAAAAATCTATATCCAATAGGATCCAGTGGAGTCTGGAAAATCCCAAGTAAAATGTCAAAAGCGCAACTCCTAATAAATGATATGAATGTCTCTGAGTGTCAAGTCTTGTAAATCCGAGGTCTTCGTGCTCCAGGTAGTTTCTTGGTAGTTTTGCTGGGTTTCTTTTTCCTGGTGGTGTATCTGGCAGGAACGCTTCCTAGAAAGAGAGGAACGTGGTAAGTTACAGCTACCAACAGCCGGCTTTCTGGGAAAGAAAGGAACCTGCTTCCCTGAAGCCATTGGAGAACTGAAATCAGAAGGTGAGTTACCATCAGTGGCAGGTGTGAATTCAGGCTCAGAGCCACCTCCAGGCGCCTGGCACAAACAACGTCCTGCTCCCATCCCTGAAGGACCATATTTTAAGAGCTGCAAGTCCAGGATCCCTTAGGAGACCTCTGCCATTTTTATTTAGGTTTGGACAGTTAAAAAGCTCAACCATGCTGTCTCTCCTCTCGCCTAACTTCTTGTTCCACCTCCCAACTCTGCAAGTACCAGCTTTGTTGGGATGAGGCAGGACACACGCAGGGCAGCGCACAGCACCGACTTGGGCAACACCGACACCACCGGCATGGGGCAGGACAGGCTTTACAGCACTGATGCACAGGCAGAGCTCCTGGATTCCTCAAGCAGCTCTTTCCCAAAACCATCAAGACTGCAGAAAAGGGCTCTTTCCAGGCACGTCAGGAGCTTGGGGTCCAGCTCAGGGGCTACCTGGCACTGATATAGGCAGGGGTCTAACATGAAACCTATAGCTCAGTGCGCTGCTGGTGCGTCGAAGGTGTTCGGTAAGGCAAAACAGCCTCATCACAGGAGCCATGTAGCTTCTTTTAGACTTCTCTGGCTCATTTCCACTGCAGGATTAGTCTGTATTTGGGACTGCTTCATCAGCCTTAAATGATTTAAGGAACAGCCAGAGCGGGACTCATCAACTAACAACAATAATTTTACTTAAACTTTGACCATATTTAGCCAAACCTCGCTTGCACTGAGATCAAACCCCCTGTCCTGGGCAGGGAAAGCAGCACCCATCGCTCGCTCGTACTTGGTCTCCCTACTCACTCAGCCTCGCTACTCCTCTGCGATCTCGGTCTCCTGGTGCACAACCACTTTGGTCACCGACATGTCCGGGTGCTGTTCCTTTGCCGCCTTTATCGCCTGCGCTAGAACCTGAAAGAGACCACATTTCAGAGCACGCCACCGAGGGTCCTCAGGGGGACAAGAGACTATTTCTAACTCTAGGGAGAGAAAAAGAAAAGTGATTCCACTTCAGCCGCACAGATTGGTGACTTTTGGTAGTATTAAGATTATTTCTGAAAGGAAAAGCTGTTTTCTAAGAATACACTACATCTCTCCACTGCCCCATGGTAGAAGATGGATGAGAGCAATTAAGCAAACCCTGTTTATTCTTCCAGCAAGCGTGATGAGCACATTTCCGACATCTTCTTAGACATTTTCTTTTGGAATTAATAAACTAGTTCTTGTCGTACGAATGTTCTCCAGCCCCATGACACTTGCAACTAAAATTAAATTCAAAGTATAATTCTCTGATGACAAAATCATCACCTCCAACACACGCTAGAGGCCAATGAGGCTGACTCATCAGAAAGGTTTCATATAAAGCTGATGAGATTTAATGCAGGTGCCGAGTGCTATGAAATGACTTCTGGCACTATACAGCAGCAATAGCGCTTCAAAGTTACTAGAAAATTAATGCAGATCATCCAGATGTCAAGGAAAACTTTTACTTCACGTTTTTGTGGATTTTTTTTTTTAAATTGCATTTCTCCAAAACAATTCTGGAATCAAAACTTTGCTGCCAACACCAGTTTCAGAGCAGAATTAAGCTCTGCTGGCCCAGCTATACAGCTGCGTACTGTCAGAGAGGAATTTATTATTGAAATCAGTTTTGAAGTTTTATTTCTACCCCAGTAAAGTTTCCCTAGGTTGTTTTCTGGTTAAGTTATCTTCAGAAAGGCAGCCTGTCTAGTTCATGCCAGCTCTGAGAAGCTCTTTTGGACCATGACCAAGCTCTTACCTGGTCGTGGTCTACATCTGCATCTCCTGTGATGACAATCCTCTTTTCAATCCGCGTCTCTGAAATGCCACCTTTTACAGTCTAGTACAAAAGGAAAAACTACCATTAGTCTAGAAGTGAAAAGGAATCCGAGTGCAGGTGGGCTGCCTGTCTAAAGATGGTATCAAAAATAGAATCACAGAATCATAGGATAGTTTGGGTTGGAAGGGACCTCTAAAGGCCATCTAGTCCAACCCCCCTGCCGTGGGCAGGGACATCTTCAACTAGATCAGGTTGCTCAGAGCCCTGTCCAACCTGACCTGGAATGTTTCCAGGGATGGGGCATCCACCGCCTCTCTGGGCAACCTGGGCCAGTGCTTCACCACCCTTAGCATAAAAAATTTCTTCCTTATATCTAGTCTAAATCTAAACAGCATTACCAAATACTGACGCCATATCACGGTATCAGAATCACAGGGGAAAACTGCCACCGCTCAAAGAAAAACTGTCAAATATTCATTTTCTTCTAACTGAGCCAGGGAAGAGCTTTGACTTACAGTACAGTTCTTTCCCATTGTCCCACAGGACAGTCAGAGCCCGCGTCCACAGACTGCACTGCAATTAATGCAGTCTTAATTCAATGCAGGCAAACCTGGGAACCTCATGCTTTGTTTCAGGTATTAATCACTTTTTTTTTTTTTTTGAAGAACTGGGGTTTAACCTTTTTTCCCTATTATTCAACTCTGCCCATCTCTCTGTCGTGCTGTTGTTTTAGTTGTTGTCGTTTTATCGTGTTCCCATGCTGTTACCTTCGTGATCTGTGTGGTGGTGGTGCTGCTGGTGGTCTCCGAAGTGATGGTCTGAGCAGTCAGCAGGATGCCAGGGTCTAAATCTCCATTGCCACCATCCGTCTGTGGGAGAGAAGAACAGGCCATCGGTCTCTGCGGGCAGTGTGGACAGAAGCAGGGTCTCCACATCAACAGAGCAGCACGCAATCCGAGGACAGAAACTCCTCTCCATCGCGGACCACGGGACAGAGCGAGCTGATCTGCAGCCGGCTGAGCTGCGCCCAGCTGCACAAGGACTTTGCAGATCTCTGAAGGCTCAGCACAAAGCCCAGGGGCTTTAAGGCTGAAAATGCAGGGATCCAGCCACAAAATCACCCAGGCAGCACCTATGACACCCCTCAGACCAGGTGGGCTTGGCTGTACTCAAATCTGGGTACACTGCAATGCCGGTCATGCTCCTCCATGCCAAGCTGCATGCTTCGGACCACGAAGGGAGACCAAAGCAGACACCTACCCCGAATTACACCTGTCTGGATCCATGGCAGTTCACAAAGCCAGAGAGCACAATCTGATTCAGGAGGTACTTTCTACCATTCCTCCCTCCTGACAGTACCTCGCACATCGCTCACTTTAAACACTGCAGAAGC